ATAACAATGTAGACATAACGCCAACGGCACCACAATTACCAGCCCTACCAAATAACCATCCACTATCCCTAGTCCCACGAAATTTTCGAAATTTAGCCATCACACATAATCCAAATTTTCGACTCACCACATCACAAAGTCCCATTCAACATATAATGACACACCAGTCACAAGATGATAATACTTATGAACAAATTATTGAACAACCCCATACCACCGCTTTTCAGTCTCAAAATAATCATTTTTTTAGCCCACGATGAGCCGCCAACTTGGATCACTACACCGATCAAATTCCCACCCAACAAATCTTACCTCTCCAATCCCAATAATACCACTTTTTGCTTTTCCGCCACCCGATTTTCCACCTAGTAATGTAACATCAGGCATGAATTCCGACACTAATTCACACATCTCAGTTTTATATTCCATCTCACAACTCAATAACCCGAATATTGAAACCCCCGATGAATTTGCCGACTCAGAACCATCCCCATCCAATAATTTTCATAACTCTTCTAATTTTTCTCAACCCCCTTTTCAACCCATATTATCCAATAACCCTGACCCAATCACTCCCACACCCTCTTATGCTTCCCAAGTTACCCCAACCTACTCCTCATACCATTCTGACCAATCATCTCATTCTCCAGACACCCCCCGAATCTCCCCAGAGCTAGATAATTTTATTACCCTTCAACAACAACCCTACCACCTTAATACCCCAACCATAAACCAAATATCCTCCACTATAAATTCATCCAATCCCCCTACCCCTACACCCTCTTCAAATTATACTGAATCATTAGCACCATCATCAACATCAACTGAATCTTCACTCAACACTAATAGAGCTTACCGCACTTTTAAAAGAAAGTTCCCCAACCATCCTTTCCCAGCAAAACCAGGAACAGCCCGTGAATACATCAACCACCCCAAGCATACTAACACAAAAGAATTTTTAGCCATCACCTTACCCTCATTCCCACAATACACCTTAAACACCCCCCACGACACTAACGAAACACGCAACTTTGTAGATGAATACGTTTTAATGCCCACTCTCTCTTGGACCTCATATTATCATTTTACTAACCCTCTTTGCTTACCTTTATCTAACACTCACATCGATATAGAACGAAATACGGACATGCTATATCGACTCACTACACCACTAACCGCTAGACAATTTACTTACGTTGGATATAAAAAATCACTAAAAACACACACTGCACCTAGAGCTAACGAATATACACTAGAATACTATGATCACAACATCATCAGAGCTAACCAAGATCAATTCTTAGACGACGATCGCTTCGCTAATCCACAAATTACCGAGAAATTTTTCATCAAGACACCATATATATTTACACTAAACATCTTCGACCGAAAGTTTGATCACATTATTTCAGAAGCACTAACAGACACACAAGCATACGAAAGTTTTAAAGAACGCTTCCAAATATTTTCACTAACCTTTCATTTCCTTGCACCACACGAAAGAGATTTACACTGCTCACACGATATTATGTTGCGCACTAAACAAACCCACACATATAGTTATTATCGCTTCATCCAAAATCACTTTGACCTACACACACCCTCTAGACAACCACACCATCGTTTTCAATTCATTAATTCCAAATACACTTCACCATTTTTCCTAAATTTCACATATTGCATTAAAGATACTAACCTTCATGGTATTCTTCGCAATTATGATCCCATAACCCAAATGTACATCTTCTGTCCCATCACCAAGACCTTCAACGCCGAAGAATCCCGACCCTTCCTTATCCCGCACGAGTTTGTACAACCTATAGAAATCCCAATTTTAGAATTCATCCACAACACTAAATTCAATCACAAATTATATAATCTAATCCAAAACACACCTTATGAGTTTGCAGTTGGCACTGAAGAACTAACCACTATTAAGGCACTTCAATTGCTTTGGCCACTGCTTCAGACTAAAAATATCATCCGCATCTTAGCTAAACTACTAACAAATTCCGATCTCATCCACGACATCTTCCCCCACGGTTTTTTCCCCGACGACTAACAGGTAAGTATGAATTAAATGAATATTACTAACTAATTAAAATATTAAAAAACTCACCATACTTTATCCATGTCTTCTTTAGATTTTTAGCCTTCATCCGACGATCACCTACAAAAACCACAAAAAAACAAATAAAGATCGCAAATTTCATCAAACAGACTTCAACAATTCTATTAATCTCTTACACTTATAAATTTATAAATTTAATACCAATGCAGTAAATTCATTTCTAAAATTTTCCCCACAAGCAGTAAATCTAATTATGATGAAAATTTGTAACTTAAAATTCCCCCATAACTAGCAGTAAATTTCCAAATTCTATGCAGTAAATTAATAAAATGCAAATGCAGTACTAACCTTTTGATATTCTCATTTATTCGCACAGAAATTCTATCCACACTCGCACAGCTCGCCCACGAAGAATTGTTTAAAATAATGAATTTCAGTTTCAAGTTTTCACACTCAACAACTCTAACATATAATAACATGTTTCAAACTTTCCTTTAACCCGGTTGGAAAGGAATCATATACTAAACAAAACTAACCAACGCAGCTTACTAAATACCACAAATCATAGAATAACAGCATGACTAAGAAAAGGAAACCAACGGTACCCAAACCGGATTAACCCAGTTTAAAACTGGATAATTTATTCTTTTGAAGACTATTATAAAGTCTAAGAAAGAAAAAATAAAACACAAAAAAGTCGAAAGACAAACCCATACCACAAACAATTTGATTTTTGGAAAAAGGACATAACCAACAAGACATAAGAAAAACCACAACAAACCCAACATAAAACGTTGTCACATAACAGGACCCCTCACAAAAACCGCATGAAATCATACTCCCATTCCTGGCCTAACCCACCAGGAAGGACGTCCTGAGCATGCTCTATAGCCGGCCTAACCCACCGCGCTACATCCACGCTTTGTGACCACACCTCTATTTTTAATAAGAGCTACTCAAGTGTGAGTAACTCTTCAAAATAACCGAACTAAAACAAAAAGCTTTTGTGAAAACAACTAACTAAAATCATAATTAAAAAATATTAAACTAATAAATGTTTTATAAAATGTAAATTACATTATGCAATACATAGATCAGAATACAACACCAAGGACGAACATCTAAAGACAAAACGACCCCACTACACTCGAGAGAGAATGACCAACCACAATCGATATGCCACTCACAATCACAACTCAAAGGATTTAGAGTACGACTTGACTTCGCAGAAAAGGACTTCATTGAACTAGACCAATGACCACCTCGATGTCCAAGTATACGTACAGATCCGAGTAACCAGGCATCCCCTCCACGCACAATCTCCACGCAGAACAGAAAAACCTGACATAGCAAACCATTCTGAAATCAGATTTGAGTTTGTTGCAAAGACTTAGTCGTTGTCACTAGAAGACACAACGTCTTATGTCTCTAACTCCAGCTTCCTGGAACTTCTTTAATAAAAAGGAAACAGAAGAAATAAGATGTTCGCCAAACACCAACGTCCATCATCCATCCTTCGAATTGCAGAAGAACTATTCTAAAAAACTCTGTAAAACCCGGATGGGTGGAACCTGATCTAAACTATATTTTATGATTGGATAAATTAGATATTTTACCAATGTAAAGTATTTAATATTAACCAATCATGATCCATCTAACTAACAACCCACTTATTTGTAAGTGCTGAAGTTACTTGTAATTTCAGCACCAGAGAGATTTGAATTTAACTTAGAAATTAGTTGGACTCTCCCGAGCACTTCAGCAGCCGCAATAAACCAGTATACCCTAGATCTATTGAGCCTAGCAGAGACTAGTTAAACAACCTGAGACTAGATAGTATAAGAGTAAGATTAGGATCGGTATTAGACTAAGAAGTTGCACGAATCTATCCGGCCGAAAATAAGATAGCGTGACGAGCAGACGGTGTACCCTATCCGAAATTACTCTATGAGTTAACCAACTCGGTCATAACTCATTATGATCCGATCTTGCATCCCCCTTGTGGTAGACTGCTATGAACGGTGGCGTGCGCGGAAACTTTTCTAAGGGGTACAGTTTTTCGGAATTTTTGTCGACCTTTCGGCTCTTTTCCAGTTTCCCACCTCCCTCGTGAAATCACAAAATGAAAATATTCAAAAATTGTTCACACGGCGCGTTTTGCGTACAAAAAATGTTTTAAAAATTTGTTCACCTGTTCACGCTGTAATGCAGTTTTTGTCATGATAAATCATTTTAAATCGACTTTTCTACATTGATTTTCAGAAAAAATCAGAGGGGGGGACTGGAAAAGAGCTGACCTTTTTTTTAGGTTGACCGTATTTGATTTTCCGAGCTCTCCAAAAACACTATAAGGACCTCATTTTGTCAAAAGTTTTCTGTGCCGCAGGCATATAAAAAAAACAGGCTAAAATGACATTTTGAGCACTATTTTAAAAAAACTGATTTTAAAATATGAGTTTTTTTCGGCGCGTGCTCCCCTCTCAATTTTAGCTATATTAGCTCCAAAGGCGCCTTCAGAAAAATTTTGAAGTTGGCCAGCCAAAAATGGATGTACCAAAGGGGGGCACTTTGGAAAAGTTTGAAAGTTTAGCAACCAGAATTGTAGGGATGGGGGCGGAACTTTTGTTTTCAGGATCAAAGTCTATTATAGCGGAAAAATAGTAAAGTTTTTGTCTAAAATGTTGTCATCCAGTTTTGTTTCAAATTTAAACAAAGAAATCGATTATATTTTTGCCATTATTATCGATTAAGTTTTTTGAAATTTTGTACTTCTAAATACTCTTAAAAATGATGAAAAAAAAACGAGAAAAAAATGAACAAATAATGAATTTTTTTTTACAAAAGTTGGAGCAACACAGCTGTATTTAACACATCAAAAAGTTTTACTGTCGCTTACTGTCGCAATTTCAAAATAATTCTTGTTCTTCAGGTGAGTTGATGCACGGCAGCTGGAAACATCATCACGAGCAGTCTGAGAAGTTTCTCACAACTAAGCACTCCAAATGCATATACGCCAGGTGCAACTTCACATCTGTCTACAACGAAGTATTGGATCATATTTCTGGATGTGACCAGAAAACGAATGAGCTGCCGTTTCTATACGAGTGTATGAGTGATGACACCGTGCCTTGCGAAGGATGCGGGAGGCATGTTGTCGGCTCACAGAAGGTAATCTGCTCATGCATTACGACGCCACACTCAGTAAATTTTGTACTCGCTACGGTTTCATAGGGTTTGCCTTTTTCCCGTCAAAATTGACACCGATTCCACAATAAAACCCTAGAAACAAAAATGCATAAACGCTAGGTAGGTTTGCTTATCAACTTAAAAACCTATGTTGCTGGAATCCATAAAAACATTTTTCTGTCCGAATTTGACAATAATTTTCTGTCAGTATTTGTCAATAGAATACAGCTGCAAAAAACACTTACTCTTTTTGAAAACAAATCATAGTCAACTAGAACATATTTATTCAAATATAATCGTTTTTTTAATCCATCTACTTTTCGATTCAATTATAGTCCCTTACAATCTATTATTTGATCCTAACTTCTAAAATAATTGTTTTGCACAGAAAACCCTTTTTAATCAATCATAATCAATTATAATCCCTTTTGTTTGCAATTTTTGTCTTCAATCTTGAACTTAAATTGCTTATGTTTTATGCTTTTCATAGGGGCTGGTTTATGTGAAAAATGAGAAAATTGCAGCATTTTCAAATTAATTCAAAACTTATTTTTTAAAATTTCTTCTCAATTGGAATTGTTTCATTATGCGCATTTATAGTTTTCTAACCACCAAAAAGTCAGCTTATCGTTTTAAATTCATGACATATTTGGAAGAATCGATTTTCACCGACCACACGAACCTTTAAAGTAATATTGAAGGATCTATATGAAACTTTTGTTTCGCGGTAAAACTTTGAGTGCAGATGAACCAAATTGTGACAAGACCTCTATTTTTCAGAGATTTGTCATTGACCGAAAAATAATAACCCAATGGATATAAAACCAAAAATTTTCGTGTGACAATTTTTCGGCAAATATTAAATTGAAATCGATGATAATCAATTATAATCAAACTAATGATTTTTTTCTGGATGAATCATAATCAAATAGGGTGGCTAAAAAATACTATCTTTGGAAAAATATATTTCTTTTAAACACTTTTTTTTGGTAATTAAATCAATTATTTTCGTTAACAAATCAGCATGATAATCCGTTATAATCAATTACTGTAGCGTAACAATGAATGCGGGTATATTTTTCATCTAGAAATTGGCGTTCCATTTAACAGCTAGCTTGGCTTATTGTTCCGACTTTCGTAATGAAAGTAACAGAATATTTGTGCTCGAGTGGTTTTTTCTTCTACAAATTTCGGCTTTTTAGCTAGCAATTTTTGCCGGATTTTTTTTCGGCTCCATTCCATTGGCATTTTGTATAGGTCGATCACAAAGTGTAGTTGATCTTACACGAACACAAACTTGAAACTTAATCGAACAAAACATCAAAAATAAGCTGAGCTAAAACAATAAATAAGTATTGACTTCGGTTCGGTTTAAAATTTTTTGCTTGTAAAAGCGTATCTAGCGAAGAAACAGTATTGTGAACGACCAAATTAGCTTGCGTCAAGTGCTAAATGCAAATTGTTCTCAGTAAATAAGATAAAATAGGAACCAATTCTCCCGCAAAACCTGAAAACCGGGTCTGTAAAAATGGATTAAACGGATCTGTAGATCCAACGGTGATCGTTTAGACAACTTTTAATAAAAAATCATTTTGTTTGAAAAAAAAACATTTCTCTAATGATAATAATTTGTCATTTTTGATTTTTAAAAAAATATTAATTATATCATTAAAAACACTCTCATAAATTTTTTAAAAGATTTTCTAGTTAGTGTGTTTGATTATAATGACAACCAATGATCAAATTTCCAAACACCTGTTTTCTAGGGCGATCATGACTCCTTCTGGTGCTCTGGGGTACTGGACCACGTGGACCACGAGACAGTGTTCCACCCGAATCAGACTTTGAGGGGGTGGGAGGTGCGGCTGATAGAACCCAACATCCTGGACAACCCCTCCTCACTGTCACACGCAGAGTCCCAAGTGGACGCCATTCTCTACAAGGCATGGGTTTCAAAATAACTTTAGGACCAAAATTACCAATTAGTGTTTTCGAAGGGTTGATTACAATATATAGCAACTTGATTTTTAAGCACACACAATACAAAAAAAGATGAAGAGCAGTACGAGGGTTTTTCATGAACAAGCGGCTTCTTCTATATAATGATAGAAAAACCGCAAATGATAGCAAGGTGAGAACTTGTAAGTAGTCCACAGCTTAATAGACGCTAAAAAGATGCGATTTTGTCAACTTAACCTCAAATAAATAACGTCTAGTTCAGGCCTCCGGGTTAGACTTCTGGGCTGGTTGGCTAATAAAACTTTGAGACAACTCTACTTTTTGACCGTTTATTGGGAAATTCGACTCTCTAGTTGTCTTACGTGTTATAATGGCTAAACGTGTGATGTAAAGAATGAAAAAGAAATCTGTCACAATCGTTAATCTGTTCACCATTCGAAACTTCCCTGCATTATGATTATGTTTAGGTAGTTTTTTGTTCAAAGTTGAAATTCAAAAGTGGGCGGAGTGAAAAAAAAGGAAGTTTTTTCTTTGCAAAATCAGCTTCGCAAATTCTGATTTTCATAATCAAACTGAAAGAAGCCGGCTCTTTCAACTCCCCCCTTTACTTCGATTTTTAACAAGTCAAGTTATTGTTCGCATTATCCGATATATAAGCAAACTGACACACGGATTGATTACGCCAAGGAAAACATATTTGATTCAACATACTTATCTTGTAAAATAACGTGTTGCACCATGAAGTTGATGCTCATTCGAGTTGGGGTGAAAAAAAAACGTGTTGGGAATTTTTCGTGCACGAGCGGTTGTAGTCCTAATAATAGTAGAGAAAACGCTATGCACTTGTGCAATGTCTCAAATTTGAATTTTGGCTCAATGTTTCAACCTTGTTTAATTTCTCCAAAATAACTGTGAGATTACGGCTTTATCAAAATAAACAGCTTTCAGCTGCTTCCCCTGCGAAAATGGCTGCTCAGAATGTTGACATGAAGCTCGCTATGGACTTGAGGGAAAATAAATTTTGAAAGTAAAAAGTTTTCACGGCTCATTATAATTTTATGAAAATTTTATAAATTCTCCAACAAAATCTACCAGCTTTGGCTGGGTCACTAGTCAGTTTGGTAGATCTGAAAAGAAATGCCGACAAAATTTTAAATAATTCTAGAGTTTTAAATGTTATTTTTGAATAAACAACGCGCGTTTTTCTTAAACTGGAATGAGTTTCCTGGCAAAAACGGTATCGACATACTTGCTTTAGTTTTTAACTGTTTTAATATAGTGGAAAATTTACGATGCAACATCGGGCCCATAGTTTTATCTAAAACACACTGTTTTTGATCAATCAAAAATCATGGTTTCACGATGGCACCAATGGAATAAAAATTTTTTATTATAATGAGCCAAATAAAGCCATTAAAATTCTTGTCTTTTCAATTTGTTTAAATTTACTTACACTTAATAGCCAGAAAAATCAATTTTACGAAATACAATACAATTTTTGAATTAAGAACTTTTTTTACGTTTTGAATGTTTTTCGAGATTATAACCTTCTTAAAACATAAGACTTCCTCTTTGACTGCAATTGAATCAACAACTTAAGTTTGGTTTATGATTGACTAAAAAGCCATTAAAAAAGTTGATTTTCATAGTGCGAATTTTTGCATCATTTTCGTTCTGCTAAACTTCTGGGTAAACTTTTTTGTTTTATTTTTTTTGTCCCAATTATTTAAATCGGCAGGGCGACAATTTGTCACAGGAGACAATTGGTCGTAAGCGAAAGTTTGTTTCACTTCTAAAAAGCGCCAATTGGTCGCAGCGCATTGTAATCAGGATTCTTTGCTTTGGTAGTTTCGCGAAACATTCCATATCAAGTCGTACACCCGCTAAGGCATGGACGTTTAGTTCTTGTGCAATGCTAAATCATTTCATTTCAAATTGGTTACACAATTAATATGGAAAATTCCTCTGCGACGAATTGTTGCTTTTTCAAATGCTACGAACTATCGCCTGCGACCACTTGTCGCTTGCGACGAATTGTCGCCTCACGATTTAAATCAGCACTGATTTAAGAACAAAATTAATAACAGGTTTTGTGCCATGAAAACAAGTTGAGCTATTTTCACAAAACTTATAACAAAACTTCGTTTGAACGAGTTGTTTGTAAAAACTAGATTCAGTTGCTTTTATGTTGAAAATGAGTCCATTATAAAACTTAGATATGGGTCACGTAAATAATTAATACGCCTGTATAAGTAACTGAGTCTATCCTCATTGTCTCTCCTAGTACCACGACTGTCTTCCGGAGTTCTCTGGCTCTGCCCTGACGGAGGAGCCGGTGAAGATTCTGAGTGAAGCTGCCAAGTTGCTGGCCACAGCCATCAGTGCCAATCCGAACAAATACAAACTACACATGCGACTAGCACAGGTAAATTAACTCAAGCGCCCTCTTCGTTCTTTCGCCTAAGGTTCTGATCGGCAAATTACATCCTAAAAAATAGGCGAAAATATGTTTTTGCATATTTTCTGCACACTTCAACTTTCTCGGTTTTCTTGTTTCAGAAACTTGCAATTGAAGACAAATAGTTTTGTTCGAAGCAATTTGAAAAAATTTTGTTCGAAGGAAAATCAAAGGACGAAACTAAATATAACAACGCCTCTAAATATTGTTTTTGTCGTTAAGTTTTTGGATCTGATTTTATATTCCATGCGATATTTTGCGCCTAATTCTGAATAGGTGGGAAAAATTCGTTTGCTGCATTAATCGATGGGGTGATCGAGTCAGTCGGCTGCATATCGTAGTTTTTGTTGATTTTGAGCGGTGTTTTCAAAAATGTGTGGAGTTGTGTGGCGTTTCATGTATGTATTGAACAGGTTTTGGAGGAGTGGAACTTTGTTAATGAGACTATGAGCTACCATGGGAACAGTATCTCTGCCAGGACCAATGACTCACTTCAGACCTCTGCTGACTCATCCCAGGAGGAAGAGGTCAAGGCCATCTGCAGCAGACACGGGGTCAAGGACACAGACACTCTGGCAAAGAAGCTCAAAGCACTCGACATTGTACGCATCTATTTTTAATGCCAAGTTTTTTGCAATATCCTTTTCGGTCAACAAATCTGAACAAAGAAACTTAACAAAAAACCGCTCATTTCGACGTCAATTTTAGTTTCCCAGTAGTTTTAACAAGTAAACTTAGTAAAAATAAGTACTTTTCATATAATTAATTAATCTAAAAAGCGTTAGTTTTCGACCGTTGAAATGGCTTAAGGTCACCAATATTTCCAACCATTTGGCATTACCTGTACTATAAAATTGCCCAGCATTGCTGGCTTACAGAACCGATCCCGCAAATTTTAGAAAACAGATGTTCTTGATTCAATAGGTTTTGAGGGCTACCTCCACTGAAAGCATTTTTTTTGCCAAGTTTGCCCGTAAAGCTCATTTATGCTAATTTGACCAAACTGACGTTTATCTAACTAAAGTGAACAAAAAACCAATTATAAGGATTTTTCGTAGTCAAAAACATAAGAACATTATCAATATAATCAATTTTCATATCGCCCTCAGACAAATGGATTGAAAATCGAATATAGATCATTGTTTTATCAAACGTAAAATTATTCCTAACCCATTTAAAATAAATTAAAATTAGTTTATTCCAATTTTTTGTTTCGCCTTGTGCAAAGTTTTGTAACAATTTTCGTAGTTATCACATTAGTAAAAAATCTTGCAAAACTGTCTGACTGTACGTACGGCCTACTCGATTTCTGAACTCAAACCTAATCAAATTGCAAATCAATTCAAGCCCGATGTAAAATTACCTTTTAAGGTGGAGCAGGGGTAAAAACTGGGGACTGGGGTTGACGTACATACATACAAATATACACCCATACATACATTTTGTGCATTTTTGCTCAAAGCGTTCCAAAAAAAGCTTAAAAAGGCCTTTTGAACCCATAATTTATAGAAATTGTCTGCGGCACAGATTATTCTCAATTTAGGAGTTGATTTAATTTTTTGGGGAGCTCGAGAAAAACATTTTAGTCGAGCTAATCAAAGGCTGCCAAAATTTTGAATTTTTTGGGAAACCAATCCTCGCTTTCTCAAGAGTCTCTTAGATTCGCCCTTGCAAACATACATGAGAAGACACTAACGTAATCCCTACAATTTTGACCCCATCCCAAAATCTCTGAAACGAGAAAACAATGGACTGAAGAAAGCGGAGTTAAAGCAAAGAGAAATAATAACCAAAAGTCGCGCAGAAAAAAAATTTAAATTGAACAGAGGTTATTGAAGTTGAACACCTTGTTCCGCGTTGCTCTTTGCATACTCGCCCACACCTAAATAAAGCGAAAATAAAATCGGTTATAATGAGTTTCAGATTCATGCTCTAATGAAGTGAAAAATATTTGAATAAAAATAAATAACAATGGTTTTTATTGGTTTATTAAAAATAGCATTTCAGATTTCAGAATGACTATTTTTTGCTTTTTACAGACACTGACAAAAAAAAACTCATATTTAATCCAGTTTTACCAACAGAACTCCAGTGCCAATGAGTTTCATAAACTCCTTAAACTGTTAAACAGCATTTTAGTAACTATTTAACTAACTAACAAGGAGTTCTTGTTTTTTTTGCCTATTCTAAATGTTTCATAGCATAGATTTAATTTTCAATAAAACTGATCAATAGAGTACCTTAAACCAAAGTTGCCAGAGAGTAGCATGCAAATGACAAAACCAATCAAAACCAAATTTAAAAAAATCATAACCTTTTCTCGGTGGTAGATCAACGTTTTTGCAGAATAGAATTTCGCAGATAAATTTTCTGAAGAGGTGATCAGTTTATAAATGTGCGCGTCAATCTCCAAGATTATATAAAAAATGGTTTTTAAACAATTTAATTAATGAGTATTTTCTCGGCAAAATAACTCCGGAAATATAACGGAAATTTGAAAATATAACGATAATTTTAACAAACTTTATCATCGGTAACATCGGCCACAAAAACTGCATAAATCAAAGCAAGCTGCAAAAATGGCCAGTATTTGTCCTTGAGACAAATTGCTCTTTTTAAAGGTCAGCCTTAATCAAGGCTGAACCAAATTAGAGCGAAAAGACGGTTAAAATCGGTTTTGGGGGGACCGAACCTGGTTACGGGGCATCCCATCAGGTTCGGTGCACATTCGAGTTCTAGAAAGGAAATGACCTAGTCGGGATTCGAACCGGCGCCGAACCCGCCGGGACGCACCATGTATACGCTTGGCTACTGTCCCTGTATGCATTTACATTTATATGCATTTATACTTTCGCACATTTACGTTTATATGCATTTGTACTATTGTTTTATATTTGCGCTGCAACATCCTCCGCCCTTAAAGACGGAAGAACAGGTGCGAGTTTTACGGTCGGTCGGGTCAGTTCGCTCGTAACGGTCTTTATGTCGGCGGATCGGGCGCATCCGTCTTTGCCGTAGTGTAGTTTAGCAATACGGGCGAGTGGGTAATGCCCACGTGGGCTGTCGGGTTCGCCTACCCAAACCAAGTCGCCGGTTTTCAGTGTGACATCCGAATCATTATGCCACTTTGCTCTCTTGTTGAGAGATGGTACATATTCACGCAGCCAGCGTGACCAAACTGCGTTAGCGTACGATTGTGCTCTGGCGTAACGCTTTTTATGATCAAAGTTATCTTCGAAACTTAACGACGGGAAGCTAGCTGCGCTGTGACCGAGAATGAAGTGATTCGGGGTGAGTGCCTCTAGGTCGTGCGGATCGGAACTGACCGGAGTGATCGGTCTTGCGTTAAGTAATTGTTCAACTAGGCAGAGCGTTGTTCCTAGAACTTCCTCAGTTAATCTCCTGTTGCCTAATATGTCGTACAACACTCGCTTAACACTTCTCACTAGCCGCTCCCAGGCGCCATCGTGATGAGGGGCACTGGGCGGGTTAAACTTCCACTTAATGCCTTTGTGGACGAAAACGGCCGGGGCGACTTTGTTCCAATTTTGGACACAGGATAGGAGCTCCTTTTGAGCACCAACAAAATTCGTGCCATTGTCAGAAAGAATGGTTTTGGGGGTACCTCGCCTTGCAATAAATCGCTCTACGCCCATGACGCAGGAACTAGTATCGAGAGATGGAACCAACTCGATGTGAACTGCTCGAGTCGTGAGGCAGGTAAATAGGAAACCCCATCTCTTTTCGGTACTTCGGCGTATCGGCACTTGAAACGGGCCAAAGTAATCAACACCTGTGTTGGAGAAGGGAGGCTGCTTGTAACCCAGTCTTTCAATCGGTAGGTCAGACATAATGGGCACAACTGTTTTTGCTTTGCGCTTACGGCATGTTATGCAAGTATTTTCGATGTTCCCAAGTAACCAGCGCAACTTCAGAACAATGTATTTCAACTGAACTACAGCACGCATGTAATCCAACCCCTGATGTGCATGTTGAAAGTGCATATGCCTAATCAACATATGAGCAACTCGGTGTCGACCATCCAGTATTATTGGATGTTTGCTATCAAAGTCGGTATCAACAAGACGGCTGATACGTCCAGTTGAACGCAGGATGCCAGCTGGGCCGATGAACGGAGAATATTTAGCAATCCGACTTTTCTTTGTTATCAGTTTATCGGACTGAAGTATTTTCACTTCGGCAGGAAATGATTCGGACTGAGCGAGATAAATGAGCTTCTGCTCGGCAATATCTAACTCGGACGGGTCGGTTATTTCAAGCGTTTTTGTACGGAAGTGTTTATGCGATGGTAGCACACGAAGCATAAACGCTAAAACACGTTTGTACTTTACAATTGAGCTGAATTTATCCCAATTTTTAAACAGACGGATCGACGGCGCTTTCTCAGATGAAGCATCAACAACAAACGTAGATGCAGTCTCAAGGCATGTATCAATGTCACAGAGTGGGCCTTTTAATTGGATCTTTTTGATGACGTCAGTGTTCGGCTTGAATGGCCAATCACATGTCCTCAATATACTAGGGCCTCTAACCCAGCTGCTATCCTTGAGGGCTTCCGAAGAAATCCCTCGTGTGCCGGTATCAGCTGGGATATCACCACTGAGTACATGATTCCATTGATCAATGGTGGTGGACTCCAAGATTTCACCAGTGCGGTTTCCAACAAACACAGGAAGTTTGTTGCACGAGTTAAGCCACTGGAGAACGGTGGTAGAATCAGTCCACATGAATACATTGCTTACTTTGAAAGTAAGCGCTTTCAAAATCTCTTCTTTGAGTAGAGTCGCAAGCAGAGCAGCCTGAAGCTCTAACTTGGGAATGGAGAGCATCTTCATAGGCGCTACACGGGCTTTCCCAAATACAAAAGCTAACTCGGTCTTTTGCGATTTAGCAAGTCGGGCTCGGAGAAACGATACGGCGCAAAAAACGTCCTGCGAACTATCACCGAACGTGTGAAGTTCACAGCGGTCGAACGGTTCGGTAAAGTAGCTACGAGGTATCGTCAGAGTACCTAATAGTGGAAGTCCTGAGTGCCAATCTAGAAATTGTTGTTTAATTTCCTCTGGGAGATCATCATCCCACTTTTGACCACTGATTCTCCATATGTCTTTTAGTAAAAGGCGCGCTTTCACAGTATATGGAGCTACCAGTCCTATTGGATCAAAAACTGAGGAAACAAAACTCAACACGGTGCGTTGAGTAATTGCTTTATCTAGTGGTCGATCAACACCTCTACTTACTACTAGGGTATCTTTTACATGATCCCACCTGAGACCAAGAACATGCGACGATTGGTCTGGACTCTTACAAATATCCTTAACTGACGGGTTGGACTCACGGTTGTCCGGATTAAGAGCGGTTGTAACTTCGGGTACATTGCTAACAAACTTTGTCAGGTTAAACCCACCTAATTTGAGCATTGCGACTAAGTCTTTACTTAGGCTAAGAGCGTCAGCGGTATTTTCGAACGAGTCAAGATAGTCGTCCATGTAAAACTTCTGGACAACGGCTGAAGCGGCTTCGGGGTATTCAGCTTGATTATCAGAAGCAGTTTTTTGTAGCGCGAAATTCGCACAAGTTG